TCCTCTGCACCCGCTCCAAGAGCTCCACGTCCTTCCTGTGCTGGGGGCCCCAGGCCTGGACACAGTACTCCAGATGGGGCCTCACAAGAGCAGAGTAGAGGGAAACAATCACCTCCCTCTCCCTGCTGGCCACCCCTTTTTTAATGCAGCCCGGAACATAGCTGGCCTTCCAGGCTGCAAGCACACAGGGGGGTACTAAGCTGTGTAGTTAGCCAGAGCATGTGCTGTAAATACTGTACAGTCTGGCCATGACACAGGTGTGAGCAGACCCTAAAGGCCACAGAGGTGAGACCAGAGCCTCACATGTGGTGCCTGCATGCTGCACAGTCCATCCCTGAAGGCTTAAGGAGACATTTGTCTGAGATCTTCAGGCTTGCTGAGAGCTGCTGTTACAACTGCCAGTCAACCAGAAAACCTGGCCACTTTTCCTATTTTTCATCTGGACAAAATTTTTAAGCAAGCAGGGAGATGGAGTGGGGAGGAACCAGAAACACGTAAGAGCTGTGAAGCTGGGCAAAAAGAAGGCGCCTTAGTGAAATCATAGCTGTTGTGTCAGAGCAGCTTTGTAGAAGAGTGTGGTGTTTTTACCACAGGAGCCAAGACACTTGCTGTCACTCCTACAAAACAGAGCCAACTCATATGGATTCCATTCAGACTCAAGTGTTAAAGTACTAATGCTAAAGTGTTTTTTTATCACAGGGAAAGTAGAGTTGAATAAAGGGCTTAGAGCTGTATACAATCTAATGCCACTGATGTGGACACCTGGATACTTGAATAGAGCCTTGCAAGTGATGGAGAACGTGGCTTCATCATCGGGGGACAGCAAAATTTGCGAAGAAGCTGTAAGTATGAAGGCTATAACCCTCTGAACAGAGAGAATTTCGTACGAGCCAAACTCCAGTAAAACAAATGAGTTGTGTGCCTTACTAATGAGAAGAGGCCCAGCAATACTTCAGAGGTCTTTGGAAGACAGGAAAAGAAATGTTTAGAACAGAACCACTGCTTCAGTTGATGAACCAGTGATGATGTCTACTGGCGTTACCTTGGGAATGAGCATCTGTTATTGCCACAAACCATTTAAGTATGTTTCATAGAATCATAGAATGGTTAGGGCTGGAAAGGCCGTTAGCGATCATCTAGTTCCAACCCCCCTGCTATGGGCAGGGACACCTCCCACTAGACCAGGTTGCTCAAAACCTCATCCAGCCTGGCCTTGAACACCTCCAGGGATAGGGCATCCACAACTTCCCTGAGCAACCTGTTCCAGTGTCTCACTACCCTCACAGTGTAGTATTTCTTCCTAATAGCTAGTCTAAATCTGCCTCCTTCCAGTTTAAATCCATTACCCCTCATCCTGTCACTGCGTGCCCTTTAAAAAGTCCCTCCCCATCTCTCCTGTAGGCCCCCTTCAGGTACCGGAAGGCTGCTATAAGGTCACCTCAGAGCCCTCTTTTCTCCAGGCTAAACAACCCCAATTCTCTCAGCTTGTCCTCATAGTGGAGGTGCTCCAGCCCTCTGATCATCTGTGTGGCCCTCCTCTGGACCCGCTCCAACAGCTCAACGTCCTTCTTGCGGTGGGGGGCCCAGAGCTGGATGCAGTACTCCAGGTGGGATCTCACGAGAGCAGAGCAGAGGGGCAGAATCACCTCCCTCCACCTGCTGGCCACGCTACTCTTGATCCAGCCCGGGATCTGGTTGGCTTTCTGGGCTGCGATTACATGTTCAGCTTTTCATCAACCAACACTCCCAAATCCTTCTCAGAGCTGCTCTCAAGCCATTCTCTGCCCAGGCTGTATTTGTGCTTGGGATTGCCTAGACCCATGTGCAGGACCTTGCATTTGGCTTTGTTGAACTTCATGAGGTTGGCATGGGCCCACTTTTCTAGCCTGTCCAGGTCGACTGAACCACACAGCTTGGCATCATCGGCAAACTTGCTGAGGATGCACTCAATCCCACTGTCCATGCCACCAACGGAGATGTTAAATAGCACCGGCCCCAGTACTGATCCCTGAGGAATGCCACTCATCACCGGACTGCATTCGGACATTGAGCCATTGACCACAACTCTCTGAGTGTGACCGTCCAGCCACTTCCTTATCCAGTGGGTGGTCCGTCCATCAAATTATCAAATCCATATTTTTCCAATTTGTCCACCAGGATGTCATGCAGGACAGTGTCAAATGCTTTGTAGAACTCGAGATAGGTTACATCAGTTGCTCTTCGTTTGTCCACTGATGCCATAACTACATCATAAAAGGCCACCAGGTTTGTCAGAAAGTTTGCCCCTGGTGAAGCCATGAAGGTTACCAGTCACCTCTCCTTCATTTTCCATGTGCCTCCATAGAGCCTTCAGAAGGATCTGCTCCATGATCTTGTCAGGCACAGAGGTGAGACTGACTGGCCTGTAGTTCCCCAAGTCTTCTTTTTTACCCTTCTTGAAAATGGGCGTTATGTTTCCCCTTTTCCAGTCAGTGGGAACTTCACCAGACTGCCATGACCTTTGAAATATGATGGTTAATGGCTTGTCAACTTCATCTGCCAGTTCCCTCGGGATCCGAGGATAGATCTCATCAGGTTCCATGGACTTGTGCACCTTCAGGTTCTTTAGATGGTCTCGAACCTGATCTTCAGTTATGGTGGGTGGATCTTCCTTCTCCCAGTTATCACCTTCGCTTTCTGCAACTTGGGCACTGCTGCCAGAGCCCTTGCCAGTGAAGACCGAGGCAAGAAAGTCATTGAACACCTCAGCCTTCTCCATATTCGTCGTGGCCAGGTCTCCAGTTTCCTTTTGGAGAGGGCCCATGTCTTCCCTAGTCTTCCTTTTGTCGCCAGTGTACTGGTAGAAGGTCTTCTTGTTCCCCTTTATGTCCCTGGATAGATTTAATTCTGTCTGGGCTTTAGCTTTCCTAACCTGATCCCTGGCTGTTTGGACAGCCGCTTTGTATACCTCCCAGCTAACCTGTTCTTGCTTCCACTCCCTATATATTTTATTTTTCTGCTGGAGTAAGTCCAGGAGCTCCTTCTTCATCCACTGAGGCCTCCTGGCATTCTTGCCCACTTTCCTCTTTCTGGGGATGCACTGCTCCTGCGCTCTCAGAAGCTGGGCCTTGAATACTGACCAGCTTTTTTGGGCCCCTCTTCCCTCCAGGGCTTTGTCCCATGACACTCTGCCAAGCAGGTCCCTGAAGAGGTTGAGGTCCGCCCTCTTGAAGACCAGAGTAGTGACTTTGGTGTGCACCCTCTTTGACCCCTTAAAGGATCTTCAACTCAACCATTTCATGGTCACCACAGCCAAGGCTGCCCTTGAGCTTCACATTACTCACCAGCCCCTTCTTGTTGGTAGTAAGGACAAGTTCCAGCATAGCACCTTTTCGCATTGGTTCCTGTACCACTTGGAAGAGGAAGTTGTCGTCAGTGCATTCCAGGAACCTCTTCGATTGCTGGTGCCCTGATGTGTTGTCCTGCCAACAGATATTGGGGTGGTTGAAGTCCCCCATTAGGACTGTGGCTTGTGAACGTGAAGATGTTTCTGTCTGTTTATAGAGGGCCTCATCCACTCAGTCTTCCTGGTCAGGCAGCCTGTAGCAGACCCCAACTAAAACATCTCCTTCCCCTGCCTTCTCTTTAACCCTGAGCCATAAGCTCTCTGGCAGCTCCTCATCCATCCCCAGGTGGAGCTCCAGGCACTCCAACTGGTCTCTGACATAGAGGGCAATGCCACCTCCCCTTCTCCCCTGCCTGTCTTTCCTAAAGAGTTTATACCCATCTAGTCCTGTGCTCCAGTCATGAGAGCCATCCCACCATGTCTCAGTGATGCCAATGACATCATAGCCCTGTACACACACGCACGTCTGGAACTCTTCTTGCTTGTTCCATATGCTCCTTGTGTTAGTGTACAGGCATTTAAGTTGGGCCCCCATTGTGGCTGGATTTCCAATTGGTGTCTCTTCCTGGGCTGTGATCCTGCACCAGGCCCAGGGCATCCATTACTGTCATTGGCCTCAAAGTGAGGTGGATTTAGGATTCCCTCCCCTGGCAAATCTAGTTTAAAGCCCTCCTGACTAAATTGGCAAGCTTGTTGCCAAATAAGGTTGTTTTTTAAGCTTTCCCTTTCTTATAGGGACACCTGGGTCGGTGTCACAGGAAGCACATGTCTGTGGGGATGGGAAGACGACTTTCCCAAACTTTTGAACTCACTCAAGAAACATACTTCTTAGTAAGGATGAAATATCACATTTTATTCCTCTCCTGGCTAATTCCATGTATTCTGTGCCCTCTGAGATTATATTGTCCTGAGTGATACTGGTCCAAAAATAATACAGAGTGATTTCTACAGGTGTTGTAGGGCACTCATTTGGGAAGGATAGATAGATTCAGCCAATTTGTGAGGTCAGCACTGGCTAAGGGACTTGGGGCTTAGGAGTGCTGTGGGGCATCAGGCTGATCCTGGAATGGGAAATCTTAGGAGGAGTAACTTAGAAAGTCACCACCACGTGGGCTGGAGCACAGAAACAGCACTGAGGTCTCACCTCCTCCTCTTGGTACTCTTTCCTGAAGGTGTTTCTGATGATGGGAGTCTCCCTTTTGCTAGCATGACTGCTAGGTTTCCAGTCTCTGCATTTCCCTTGACAAACAAAGGCCAGGGCACTGTTTAGCAGGTTCTCCCATCTGTTGCTCTGTGCTTTGAAGCAATGCAAAGAAGGAAGTGTCACATCTGCAACTTCCACCATTTTGAATTTTGGTGATTTCTTTCTTACTCCACTTCTGAAGAATTCAGCCTAATAGGCTTGTTATTTTTCTGCTTACAAACCCTAGGCAAATTAAGAAACTCCTCAACTTGCTCTGAGTTGTAGATGAATATACTAGTGTTGAAACAAGGCTGCATCGTCTGTCGTACAACAAGTCCGTAGAAGATCTTCTCCTTCTGTGTACTGATACATCCAGTAGTAGAGCCCCCAAAAAATGACTGTGAGAGCCACAGAGAAACTTCGCTGAAGACATACGTGGCCTCATTTGGATTTTAGGTAGCAGTATGTAAACAATAATGCAAGTCACGTAAGTTTCGCCAAGCTGAGGATGAAGAGAAGGCCTGGCTGGTTTGTTATTAGCAAAATTATTTAATGCATTTTTGTGACCCCAGTGCAGAAAGAAAAACAAGGAAAGTATGTTGATCCATATCCTTATCTGGTGTAAAGTAATTGCAATGTATTGATTTGCATCATTTGTCCTTCTCAACCTAAATGCTCATTAAGGTTTTACTGTTGAAATCCATACAAGATCTTTTTAATTACTATTTCCAACTGAAATGCAGTATTCCTGAAGGTGAAGGACTAAGAGCACTGACCAGGTCAATATAGGGGTCAGTCAACTTCCCCTCAATTCAGCAGCAGATATGATGGTGACAGCCTCACGTGCCATAAACCCTTTTTTCCTGTAGTATCCTAGGCCTGTCTTGAGCAGGGCTGGGTCGACCATTATGCAATTCTCATAAATCCATATCATAGCACTGAGTACAGGCCGTGCTATAAATCATTGCCCTTGCATGCCTGCACAACCACAGAGCTATTTGGGAAAGACAGAGCCCTGTTTTTGCAAACTTGGTTCTTTTCCAAAATGCAGTATTATTTTTCTGGATTAATAAATTTGATTATCTAAAAGGGAAGTTTTCAAGTGAACTTTTTTAACTGTGCAGTTTTGGTGTAAATATTTTCAAGTTATTTGCCCAGTCGTTACCAGTCACTTACTTTCTTTTAGGCTTTAAGCTTCCACTTATTTCTGACTAGAACAGTGTCTCTTTTGTCTCTGCCATTACTATCTTAATAGAAATACTGTTTTAGTATTGTGCTATATTGTTTTACTGTGAACAAGGGAAGCAAGTTTTGTTTTTTTCAATTGCCTGAGAAAGTCTCTAAATGAGTGCATGGGTTTCCAAGCACACAGTTATTATTTCTTTGCTTATCTGATCCTGTTTCAGTACTTCTGGTTTGAAGATTACATTTCAGTGTCAAGTATGTTATTTCAAATAAGCCTAATTTTTATTCCTTTAGCATTATATACTTATACTGGGAAAATGGAACTGTAATTATCAAGATCCCTTTTGCTTGGAGAAAGCATCACAGATTCAAAGGTTACACAGAGTTATGTCATCCTACATTCAGAACTAGGATTCATGGGAGGATATCAGCTCTTCGCATTTGTAAAAGCTGAACTTTAAAATGCAGGCAACCTGCGTCCAATAATTCCAGTTATGGAGATCATGTTAGTCCCAAAAGAGCAGCGGCATCCATAGAGCAGTTTCATCTTTTGTATTAATAATACATACAGAAATAATTTGCCAAGTTGCTTAGTGAAGCTAACTGATTCTTTTAATACAATTGCAATTAGATGAGCAGATTTTGGTTCTCTTACTACCTTGAAAGACAAAAGGATGAAGAGAACACAGATGTCACAGGTTAAAAATATACCTATACCAATATATTATATGCCCACATTTCTATTTTTCCTGTTAAATTATCGAAGTAATGATAGGATTTAATGTTCTTGTTGCTGAACAGGTGATTTCACTGCTTCTTTACACCAAAGAGGTATTGAGATGATCTATTAGATATTATATTGTTCAAACATTCCATAGTAATATGTAAATCTTGTAAATCTATATAAATAGTCATCTTATGTAGATGTGTCTGTGATTGTATATCATGCTAGTGCTGTTATCACTGCTATTAGCATTAGTATTTATGTCTGGATATCACATCAAGAGGAGACATTAGCCTAATGCCTGACAGATCTGCAAATACCAGTCAGAAACTGAGTTACAGGCAGTTTTACTTTTGACAGGGGGTGGTGGAGTTGTTCTGTTGCAGGGATTTGATTTCCAATCTCAAAGGTCCCAAGTATAGAACAAAACTCTTCCAAGAACAAGTTCCATTTCCTTTTAGAATTTGGTTTTCTTTTTATCATACACAGGAGTCATCTCAAAATACGTGGTAACTCATGAAGTTTTTTCTAAACGTGGCACTGATGTTACTCAGATTGTATTTCCAAACTGTGTATGCTAACAATGACAAATGTGGTTGTTCAGATCAATGCTCTGGAGAACGTTTTGCAGTCTGTCCTTGAAGCAAAACCTAGTGCAGAATCAGCTGAAGAAGTAAAGGAATTAGACCAGAAGTCACAGTGTGCAGAATCAGAAGAAACAGAGGAGTCTAAAGTACCCGAGTACTACAGCCGATTCAAGGTAAGAGAATTTCATTTATCTAATATTCTAAGCTGCGGTAGGTGTCCATAATCTGTACTAGAAAATGCATACGCTGGCTTACTATGACTAGTAGACTGACAACCCTTCAGTGCATTGGGAGTCCTACCTGGCATTTTTGAAACTGATGTCACCTTACATTTTCACTTCTTCAAACAGGAAGCAGCAGCCTGCCAAGACATAAATGCCTAAAGCCACTTGATTTGTCTGTCTGCTGGGATTTTATCTTCCCTTTCTGTACATCAAAACGATAAATCTAGTCGTGTTTGTGAGAGTGGTATGTCATTATAGATCCATTATCTGACCTTGTATGGACTCTCACTTATTAAAATAAGTTGTAATAGGCATGAGGCCATCCTGAATTTATTATCCTTTTGTGTGCGTTATGATTAAGTAGGAATGTTGCATTCTGTGCTTTCAGTGTGGGGAATTAGGTAAGGCTGTATCACCTCCCTTTTATGTTTAAGTCGTCATGCTGGTGATCCATGCATGCATGCATGACTAGTTATCCTTAGGGTATTCAACTCCCTGAGCTGGCACACAGGGACAAAGAGCAGAATAACCTTCCCACAATCCAGGAGGAAGCAGTTAATGACCTCCTACGCCACCTGGACACACACAAGTCTATGGGGCCAGATGGGATCCAAACAAGAGTACTGAGGGAGCTGGCAGGGGAGCTTGCCAAGCCACTCTGAGGAGAAACAAAAAAAAGCCACTCTCCATCATTTATCAACAGTCCTGGCTAACAGGGGAGGTCCCAGAAGACTGGAAGCTTGCCAGTGTGACACCCATCTGCAAGAAGGGATGTAAGGAGGATGTGGAGAACTACAGGCCTGTCAGCCTGACC